CTTCCTCCAGGCCCCCTGCTTTGTGATAATATTTTTTTTTAATCAACTCTGAAAAACATAATTTGAGCACAGTTTATGGATAAAAATAGCTCTGTGCTCTTCATGCTGAAAAGTGTAATATTTGGTTGTATGCTACACTCAAGACAAATACACTCAAGACAAAGTCTGTCTAGTCACTTTGGTTGTCAGAAGCTCATTCATAATAGACTCCTCAGGAAGAATTTACAGAAAGAATACTCCCTGAGTTTTTGCATGTTGTTGGCAGGTTTGTTTTTTTTTTTTTGCATTTTATATTTAAAAGTCAGTGTTTCCTGATATAAAATCCTTGAATGCATTTTCTTATTTTGAAGATCATAAGTACTTTGCTTTCTTCTGGAATAAAAAGTGTTGCTATTGAAAAGTCTCACAATAATGTAATTTTCTTACCACTACAAGTCTTTTGCTCTTTATGTCGAAGTACAAAGGATTTTTGCTTTGTCTTTTAAAGTACAGTAATTTTGGAGTCCTGGTGTGGTATAGTAGGATAAACACTGGACCACAGGGTCAATTTGAACTGCAAGGTCTGCAGTCAAACGCACCAGTCGCTCCTCAGAAATCCTATACAGCATTGCTATGAGTCTGAACTAACTCAATGACACATACAACAACAAATTTTACTAAAATGTAGCTTGATGCCATATGTTCTGAGTTAATATTCTCAGATATGTGGTGTGCGTTCCAAATGTAATTTCAAATCTTGATTTCAGAGAAACACTCTTGCATGATTGATGTCAATATTCATTGCTTTGCTACAGTTTTCATCCTCAGGAATTCCTGTTATCAGTGTATTAGATATCCTTTGTCTAGCTACAATAGTTGCTACTTCCTCTTTAAGCGTATTGTTTTTGTTAAGTGTTGCTGAATCCGTTCTAACTCATAGCAGCCCTGTATAGGTTTCTGAGGAGCGACTGGTGGATTTAAATGACCAAACTTGCAGTTAGCAATCCCATGCTAACCCTACAGGGCCACAACACTATAGACTAAATACCAGACATATCTTCATTCAAGCAATAATTCTGAGATGAGTTATTATCACAGCATTCAAACACAGGTCCTTTGAATATTGAGTCAGTAACTATCCATTGAACTTTATAATAGCCTTCCTCCAAAGGATTATCAAAAATTGTGAACCAGACACCACACTATTTACTTTACATGCTGTATTTAATTTAATCCTCAGAGAAAGTTGATGAAGTTTTATCCACAGATAATAGAGACTTAGAAAGTTTGAATATTTTACATTCACACGGCTGTTAAGTGACACCAGACTGGATTAGAACATAAGAGTGACTATCTTCAGGCCCAGATTCTTACTACCACACTATGTTGTCATATAGAAATGAATGCAACTTGGGTCTTCATCTGTTAGCTATTGATCTACAACTGAAGTCTGATTCTATAGATGTTCCCATATCCATGTGCATTTTCCTAAAATTACACTGGGATAAAAAGGATTACTTCCCAGCATAATGAATTTATATTCTTGTGAAGGTCATCTAATACAACATAGGGACATTTGAGAAGAAGCAAGATGAAAGAAGCCGGAACAAAATAGGCACTGGACAAGTCCCAGATAAACTCTTTACAAATGAGGTTTGCCAAGGAAAAAATCTTAAATAAGACAAGCAAACGCTAAAGGATTTTCTTATGTCAAATTACAGAATATCTAGTTAAGGTTGTTTTTGTTGTTAAAGGCCATTGGCTAGATTCCGACTCAGAGCTACCCTTTTTGGGATTTCTGAAAACTAGCTACTGGGTTTAAACTGCTAATAGGACCTATAAAATGTGTCAATGTTTTGATTTTTTAGCAATGTTTTATTCCAAAATTAGGTCCTTGTATCCTCTTTCACTAGTTTGCAAATCTATAATTCTGGAATCATTGGGAATCTAATTTGAAAATGTTTAAACTTCTCATTTTGATCTCTTAAGATTTCCAGAGTCCATTTGGAATTAACTTCATTCCATTATTAAGACTCTACTTAAGGACCAGTGCTTTATTTTTTTTAAGCTTAAAATTGATCTTAAAAATACAACAGAAAAGTCTAGGGATGTTTAAACTAAGTAGGACATTGATAATGTAGTGTAGCCAGTTGATATAAAAAAGCTAACAGTTCTGGAGTGGAAAAGTGAAAACAACAATCTTATATTTGTAAGAGTGATTACTTTTTCTGTTCTAGAAAGCTGGCACAGATGTCACACACAAGAATAGAGAGCTGCAGGGGCTTAGCACAAAAGGCAGACAGAGTAGTACCCCCTGCTATATATGATTGTATCTGGCCTCATAAGCAAGAAGACACTGAGGCTAGATGCCACTGACTTGATTAATTTCCAAAAGCACAAATACAAACAGGCAGACTGATGCTCTGATTTTCCTAATTAACTCAGATAATTATTCATAGGGGGGTTAATAGCTAAGATTTTCACTTTTCCATCATTCATCTGGGCAAGGACTTATTGAGTGAGAAATGATCTGACAATTAAGATGCATAGGCAAACCCCTAAGAAACCTGAATTTCACAGTACTTTGCTTCTTAATATTAGGATTTTTATTAGTAACTGAATATTACCCCTTGTTCCAATTAAATTCACAGAAAATACACAATTGAAATGTTTATGTTCCAATTTTCCAAAGGCAAGAATGGAAATGTTAATTCTACATTGTTAACAACTTCTGTTTAATTATTCATTTAATTGATAATTATAAATTACCTGAGGATTATTGGTATCTGAGAAATATAAATGTTAGCTTTCATTTGTCCATATCTTGCTTAACAGATATGAGGACTGAACTGTTTTTCAGAGGGAAAAAAGGCTGAATCTGTATATCAGGTATCATCTGTATATAAGGTATTTTTTTTCACTCCTTAATCACATCAGTGAAAGTTCTTTCTGCCAGCCTTTCAAATACTGGGTTTTGTTCAGAAAAACATATGTTTTAAGCCAGCATATCAATCTTCTGGGAAGTTCGGAATGCAAAGACTCCTTTTTGTACCTTCAGAATCAACACGTTTGTTGAGAATAAAAAGGACCAGGCTTTGACATTTTCTAGCTTGTTATCTGTTTAATTTTCCATCTGCCTCTTTTGCTTCTGCCTTCCAAAGGAACATCTGCTGCCTATCTAAGAGAAGGGAAGGAAGATTGGATCTATGCCACTTGGGTTTGCAGTCCTAAACCTTGGGATACAGAATCAGGGAAGGGAAGAAGATAAGTAAATGATTGAAAAAATGAAATGAGGGCAGTCTGTTGAAAACAAAGCTGTGTGTCTCTTTGTTTCAAAGCACACCAAAACCTGGCAAGCTGGACAACAGTGTTCTAACCACAAGTTCAATATTTCCTAACTTAGACTTGATGGAGGCAGAGAGTATTTTTGAGTCTCGATGTATTCCATCATTACTTTTACTGATTTGTAAGTGAGAAAGCTGAGACTAAGCTTAACAGTTAAATCATGAAATCTAGTTTGTTTGGGTTTGCTGCCACATCCTAAGATTTCTCAGTACATCTTGCTTGATTATGGCATTATCTCATTACCATCATTCCTGTTCTGTACAACCATGAAAAAAAATAATAAAAAAGTTTGGGGATAGAGCCAAATAAATCCTTTCCTTGACTGAATTTGTATCCACTGTCTCCACCCAAGACTCTAAAAAACTGGATAGAGCTGACTGCCCATGACCTAAAAGAGTGGGTTGTCATCATTTTATTTCAACCTGGTTTTCTTTCTTGGTACTTCCTGAGATATTAAAGGGTCAGAGCAGTGGGTAATAACATCCTAGACAAAGCTTAAGTAAGTTCAACTAGGCACTCTGTATACCTGGTGGGTTTGAATGAATGGCATGTTTGTGGTTCAGGTTAAATACAATGAGTTTCAGGTAAAGTAACAGTGGGCAGAACATATGTAAATTTGGTACACTGCTTATGTATTCCAGGCCTAACATGTTCTGTAATTTAAAACAACTACACATAATTTCTGTGGGCTTCAGTATGATTCAGACATCAGGAATAATTAAGCTAATTGCTGAAATGTGACTGCATTTAGTTGCTAATGGAGAAAATATATAATGGCATGGTCATCCATTTAAATGAAACAACAAATTCTGAATTAGTCACTTTCCAGTATTTTTGTTCCAGATATTTTTCCTTTTTTATACAGCTGCCTATTCAGTAATTCTGCTGAATTTTGTCATTTTTTAAAATATTGAGGCAAGGTATTCCAATCTTTTATGCAGATCTATCATTCAACTTTTTAAGGTTAGTGAACAGCAAGGTTCTAACATGGTAGAGGAAAAACCACCTCTTTGTCTCCTGTCATCTTTCCATTTCTAATATCAACCTGAGAGTGACAGGCAGATGAGCAGTCATTCTTGATTATTGCTACGCTCCATATTTCTAACTGATATATTTTCTCACACTTAGGACTACCAAGAGGCCTCAAATTTGGAACAATTTGTGACTCGATTTCTATTGAAGGAGACCTTGAATCAGCTGCAGTCTCTCCAAAATTCCCTAGAATGTGCTATGGAAACTACTGAGGAACAAACTCGTCAAGAAAGGCAAGTTAACTGTATACGCATCCCTTTAATAACCATGATCTACAAGTAGCTGTATGGATAGACATGAAGGCTAAATGGGTATAGGAGGGAGAACAGGAATTTATATCCATAAATGTGGTAGAATGTACGAAGGTGAAATTTTGAAAACGTTGTAAACATAAACACCTTGAGAAAATGAGTCACTGGAACTGGAGGCTCAGGACCAAAGTCACAGGGGACACCAAGGTCATTTGGTATAACAATTCACAAAGGCGTTGTTCTACATCCTACTTTGGTGAGTAGTGACTGGGGTCTTAAATCTCTTGAACAGTCAGCTAAGGTGCAACTGTTGGTCTCTCTCTGTCTGGAAAATAGAAGAGTGATGAAAATCTAAGACACATATAAACAATTAGTCCAATGGAGTAATGGGAAACATAAATCTCTATGACTCTGAGACCAGAACTAGATGACACCTGACATCAGCTACTCTGAAAGGGATCCTGGATACACTGGGAGAAACATGTGAAACAAAACTTAAAATCATGAAGAAAAAATAGACTAGGCTTATTGGTCAGATAGAAACTGACATCATGGTCCATAACCGTCTTTCATTTCTGAAAATGAACTCACCTCCATGGCTCAATTTTTAGCCACCCATTGTTGTTGTTAATTGCCATCAAGTTGATCTTTGACTCATAACGACCCTGTATAGGGTTTCCACGGAGTGGCTGGTGAGCTTGAATGGTTCAACCAAACGTTGCAGTCCAGCGCTTAACCCACAGCATCACACCAGGACTATAGGGAAAACAAAACACTGGGGAGGTAAGCACAGCTAAGAATAATCAACAATTTGAGTTCAAAAGGGCAGCTTTGGCCCAAGGACACAGTTCCAAAAAGTTAAGAAATGAAGAGGAATGGAAACAAAATACAAGGAGGATATAGGATAATTTAATCCACTGCATCACCAGGTCTCCTATTAAAGACACTGGGGATGGTATAAATATATTTTATATGATCCCTATTAAAATATATTCCATAATTACATCATAAATAATAGATTAACACTAAAGTTATAATACAAGGTGAAAGTGATAAATACCATAGAAAAAAGGAGGGAATTACCAAGGAAATGAACAAGATTAAATATAGGAGATGAAAGATGGTTTCCTAGAGATTTTCTATAACACTTGAGCTCATCTTGCAAATGGGTATAATTTGAAAATATGGAAATGATAAGAAAGATTTATAGGCTTTATAGTATATATATAAAGCTTTATAGGCTTTATATTAAGGAGATGAGAATTCAACAAGCCTAATTATTTAATTAGTTGAATTATTTAATTCAACAAGACTAATTATTTAAATAATTAATTGGAGTCCTAGTGTGATGCTATGGGTTAATGCACTGGACTGCAAGGTCAGTTT